GCGGGGATTTCCCAAAGTTCTTCACTTGCGAGTGATTATCTTCCTTTGTCCCCTCCCCCGATTCTCCCCTTTATCTCGATTTTGTTTCTTTCCCCTTTTAAACAAATCAGCAACAACGAATGAACCACACAGCTCTGTAACTGGGCACCTTTGGCTGTTTGCGAAGAATCCCCCAAACTAGTCCGGACTGGGCCCAGGAGATCGGCTGAGAGGGCTTGGAGACGACCCAGGAGAAGAGATGCCCTCCCCCCCCACCACCACCACCCTGACCGGGGTCAGAGGCGCACGCTAAAACTCAAACACTGAACTGGCGGGCGGCCAACCCTCCGGTGACGCTGAGATAGCCATAGCTGGGCTAGGGGAGCCTCCGCCACACAGGTGACAGTCCGAGGTGGCTCTGCGAGGACAGAGAAGGTGGTGGCGGCCAGCAGACGGCGATCGCGGCCCGCGCCACGGCAGGGTCCACATTGACAGGCCTAGGGGCTTCGCGGTGTCCCAGCGCGCTGCCCACCACTCCCGGGATGGAGTCACAACCTCCGTGCCCGCCCCTCTCGGATTTGCTCTCCTCCCACGTGGCCTATAATCTGCGCCTCCTGTTGGTGGAGGTGACCTCGGAGGCCCTTTTCCAACTTGTAGTGTTCTTTTCCCTCTCCCGAGTTTACTTTGGGGCCTCTTCCTAAACATTACTTTCTCCCTCCACAGTCCAGCCTAGAAACTGCCGGCTTGCTAGAGGTCTTCAACTATTCTCTCAGCCTTTAGAAGGTACATCAGAGCAGAGCCTGGAAGTCTTTGCCCCTGGCAGTTACCGGTAGTCACCTCCTCGTGTCCTCTGTCCAAGTGCCCCATCAACCTTTAGACAATCTTGTTCTGAGCACGATCAGGGGATTGTCACCAGAGCAGACAGTCTGGACCTCCCATTGAATAATTTCTAGTCTTGCACAGTTCCCAAGAACCTCAGCCTACCCAACTTGTTCAAAGCTTCAGACTAACTCTGAGCATAGAAATCCACATATAGATGTCTGAGAACCAGTCCTCCAAAAAAGGGAACAAGGCGTTCTGACTACAGGGGCTCTCTGTGAGGCAAAGATTTCTCAAGAACACAAAGGTGTGTGAAAGTACTGGTTATTTTATGCCAGGGGTTCAAGTTTAAAACCCAGGTGTTTAAAATTCAGGACTCGGTTTATTTGAAAGTCAGGGTTTTTGTGCAAAAGCTTAAACATACCATTTCCATATATACACCCTTTCATAATTCATCTATGTTCATTTACATATACAGACACAGATGCATATACTACATGCATGCATCATTTCCTCTAGCAATGGGTCGACATGAATTTTCTGAGGATTGTAACCACTGGTTGGATTAAAAACTTAGCCACTTTTCTAAGTCGGTCTTTGGCATTTTGAGCAATGGCACAGTGAAATTTCTGAGTTGCTGAGAGAGTAAAATTGGTCAGTCATCAGTGAAACCAATCCTTGCCTTGGATTCTGGGCTTTCTCTAGTGTTACTTAGACATAGTATAGTCAGTCTTTAAATCCTCAAGGATATAGTTTGTAGGATGGCATTAGGCTGGTGGACTGGGAGGCAGCCCCATCAAGCTGGTCGGGAGAATGGGAAGCAGACAAAAATATTTATCAAACTGGTTTTAGTCTTTTTTTTTTTTTTGTAAGAAGAGCCATTGGGGAAAGTGAGCATAGAAGAAACAAGGAGCAGAAGCTTCCAGAAGTTGTCACTGACAGCAGTTGCAAAGCTTCTCACTGCTCATGCCAGGATGGAAGGCACAAGGAGGTCTGGCACACCATGCCCACCACCACTTAGTTGGCACAGGCTGCTGCTGCCAATCTTCTATCACTTGGCAACAAGTTACACCTGCATCTCTGATTTCCTACTTCTGCAGGTGGGCACCCATAGGGTTTTTACTGGCTTGGGCTGGCAACAGTTTATTACTAAACGGGGCTTCTGAAGTGCCGTGCCCTGAGTGACAAGCACCAACATGGTTGCCTGCAATGTGACGCCATTTACCTCCTATTTAAATGTTCTGGGAAACAAGGGTAACATCCCATTTGGAAACAATGTTCAGGGCTTGGTAGAAAGAAATGAGACCATTTCAAAGTCATCTATCCAAGTTCCCCAAAGCATAAAGCATTCCTGCAAAGCTCACTGGAGTGCAGGGTGTTTATAAAATAAATTGCCCCATTGATATGGAAAATAATGTGCCAAGCTTGATTCATACAAAGCATTTTCAGGGGGTCTCTGGCTATTTAGTTTAAAATCTAAATTGAAAAGCACAGGAAAGAAATCTTTCAATTGCTAAGTGGATAATATAGTTTATAATTTGTAAACCGTTTCTTTTATTTCAGTCTTGTTGACTTCCCCTAACACAGTGGATCTCTGCACACCCATCGCCTCCTAGATTATCAAAGGAAAATGGCTCTACCAAATTCTTAAACAATATTCCTGTTCGTTTTGTTCATTTACAATGTAACTGATATTTGTAGGGAGTTCATGAAACAAATCAAAAGGTTTAATAAACTTGATTGCTGAAATAAGAAAGTAGCTGAAAAATAGTCTATAACCTAGATGCTTATAAAAATATGAAACAATGTTTCTAGCATAATTCTATATTATTTGATGAGTTTACTAGTAAGTACTGGATGGCCTGAAATGAAAGCTCAGTCGGCTTTGCTGTTGCACTGTGCTATAACAACCTGGGATTAAAATAAAATAAAAAATAAACATATGTAATAATCATAGCAAGGGAGCAGTGGGGTCGGGAAATTCACAGCCTCAGCTATTTTTTGTTAACAGAAAAAAGAACAGTCACATGTTCAGCGCCCAATATACTGGAACACCCTTATTCTTGCCATTATCCTTTATCTCTGCCACAGAAGAGCCTTTGGATTACACACCGGGAGGTCTGCAGGCCAGCAGACCAGCCTAGCCCAACAGCAATCTCTGGAGGCACCCTCTGTTCCCACCCCCACCCCACCCCGCCCCAGAACGGCGGAAGAACTTCTGCACTCTAAGGGCCTTTCTGGAAGAAGCTTTTAAATCAAATCTCCATCTTTCTCTTGGAAATGGCAGTCTGAGGTTAGGTTGGAAATCTCTTGAACACCTCAGAAGCATACTCGTTCTGAGATTCAAGAATTACAGCCGTCTGTGGTTTATGTTTTGCTCATCCCCAGAACTGGCCTTTTTTTTTTGGCACAACGTAGTAAGAAACAAAACATAACAAAAAGGCAATACTGTCACGCGATCAGAGGCACCCCTTCTAAACCCTGAGTACAGAGTTTCGAAGGCCTTTGGCAAGCAGCTTATGGGAGAATCGCTCCAGAAAGAGTGGGGTAGGTTCCTTTGCTCTTTCAGTTAACTTTTTTTTTTCTGTTGGAGTAACTAGATTCCAGATCTTGTTTTTTTGACCTTCGCAGGAATTCAAGAAGAAAAAGTAAATTGGGAAGAGTTTTTTTACTATAACATCCTGATCCATTAAAAGACACCCCCCCCCCCCCGCCCCGCAAGAAAGTTCAGGGTAGATAAGGGAGCTATGATCCCTGCACCACACAAAAGCGGCCGCACCTCCATCCAGACCCGAATTATAGATCCTGGAGCTGGAAAGGTCTTTGCTAGAGCAGGCTCTGGAGAATGCACTGAGCTCCGGGAGTGGGGGAGATTGCCTAGCTTGGAAACCAGCAGTGGTGCTTTGGGCTTAAGCTGCCCCTGGGAAGATCTCCTCGGGCACCACCATTATTCTGCACTCTGGCTGAGTGCAAAGTGCGGCCTCTACCTCCAACTTGCCCCTTCCCTGCGGGCACAGAGTTGGCTGGTTGGGGACGGGGAGGAGCTGGGTCTCCAACAAGCGCATTTAAACAGGACCCAAGGCTGTATCCCCCCCCACACACTCCCCGCCTCCCCCGACAGCGATTCTTTCTTCCTCTAGGTTTTCAACCCAATCGTTAATCATTCGAAGCGCGAGGGCGGGGAGAGGAGAAGGGGGCGAGCTCCGAGTTCTCCGCCGTCGCCGCCGGCGCGCGCGCTCAGGAAGCAGTGTGGCTGTGACCCCGCCCCCCCGCGCCCCCTTTTCCCCCTCCTTCCTGCCCTTGCTCCCCCCCCCCCCCCCCCCCGCTTCTCTTCCACCTCCTTGCTCTGCCGCCCGCGCCCAGTGTATCTACTCCCTCCCCACGTCACTCGCCAGCGCGCCATGCAAATCACCGCCGCCGCCGGCTCCCATTGGCCGCGGCGCGCTCATTTAATGGCAGCCCGGGCCCGGCGTATGGCTGCTGGGCCCCCCGCGCCACCGGCCCCGCGTGTGCCTCCGCTCCGAGCGCACGGCCCCAGGCAGGCAGCAGACAGCTTGTCCTGCGTGCAGCGGCCCAGCTCTCTGGCTCTCTGCACGCGTTGGCACTCGCACCGCTGTCCCTAACCCCCTCCCTGGCTGCACGGTGATCGCCCCCTCCGAACCCCCCTTCGAGTCCCCCTCAGCGCCTGGCTCCCCCCAGGCACCTGGGACCAGCACATGCCCAGCGCACGCGGCGCACCGCCCTGCTAGAAGTTGCGGCCCCGGAGTTGGAAGCCGCCAAGGAAGCCAGCACAGTAAAGAGACTTCGAGCAACCAAGAAGAGGCAACGAACTCGGTGTCGGGCCCGGTGGCACCGCTTCAAACCCAGAAAGTGGAACCTCAACTTGGCCACGACTGCACCTGTTTGCACAGCTCAGCTGAGAGCGCCCGGACTGCAGGAGCGGCAGCGGCGGCAGCGATGATCCCGGCCAACGGCCTCTTTGGCAAGTGATTTGTGCACCCAGAGAAACTTTCCACCTGCGAGCTGGACCCGCGCTAAGTGCGTGTGCTTTTGCCTCTTTTTTGTTGTTGCCTACACCCAACCCCCTTCTCTCTGTTAGGCAACCCCCCCCCAGTCTCTCTGGGCTCTCTCTCCACCCACCCACCCCCACCCGGCCGTCTATGCTCCAGGCCCTCTCTTTGCGGTGCCGGTGAACCCGCAAACCGCCCAGATGTACAGCATGATGATGGAGACCGACCTACACTCGCCCGGCGGCGCCCAGGCGCCCACGAACCTCTCGGGCCCGGCCGGGGCGGGCGGGGGCGGTGGTGGGGGCGGGGGCGGCGGTGGCGGCGGGGGCACCAAGGCCAACCAGGATCGGGTTAAGCGGCCCATGAACGCCTTCATGGTGTGGTCCCGCGGACAGAGGCGCAAGATGGCCCAGGAGAACCCCAAGATGCACAACTCGGAGATCAGCAAGCGCCTGGGGGCCGAATGGAAGGTCATGTCCGAAGCTGAGAAGCGGCCGTTCATCGACGAGGCCAAGCGACTACGAGCGCTGCACATGAAGGAGCACCCGGATTACAAGTACCGGCCGCGCCGTAAGACCAAGACGTTGCTCAAGAAGGACAAGTACTCGCTGGCCGGTGGGCTGCTGGCGGCCGGCGCAGGTGGCGGTGGCGCAGCCGTGGCCATGGGCGTGGGCGTGGGCGTCGGGGCGGCAGCGGTGGGCCAGCGCCTGGAGAGCCCGGGCGGCGCGGCTGGAGGCGGCTACGCGCACGTCAACGGCTGGGCCAACGGTGCCTACCCGGGCTCGGTAGCCGCAGCTGCTGCAGCCGCGGCCATGATGCAGGAGGCACAGCTAGCCTACGGGCAGCACCCAGGCGCGGGCGGCGCGCACCCTCACGCGCACCCGGCGCACCCGCACCCGCACCATCCGCACGCGCATCCTCACAACCCGCAGCCCATGCACCGCTACGACATGGGCGCACTGCAGTACAGCCCCATCTCCAACTCTCAGGGCTACATGAGCGCGTCGCCTTCGGGCTACGGTGGCATCCCCTACGGCGCCGCAGCAGCCGCCGCCGCCGCTGCTGGCGGCGCGCACCAGAACTCGGCTGTGGCGGCCGCGGCGGCTGCAGCGGCGGCATCGTCGGGTGCCCTCGGTGCCCTCGGCTCGCTGGTCAAGTCAGAGCCCAGCGGCAGCCCGCCGGCCCCTGCTCACTCGCGGGCGCCGTGCCCCGGGGACCTGCGCGAGATGATCAGCATGTACCTGCCTGCAGGCGAGGGTGGAGACCCGGCGGCTGCAGCGGCTGCCGCGGCCCAAAGCCGACTGCACTCGCTGCCACAGCACTACCAGGGCGCGGGCGCGGGTGTCAACGGCACGGTGCCCCTGACGCATATCTAGCGCCTCGGGGACGCCGGGGACACTGCGGCTCGAGACCGCCGACCCGGCGACGAAGAGCGTGAGGCCTGCGCCGGAGCCTCCTGAGCTCGACTTTGTACAGACGACTCCATGTTCCTGTAAAAAGACAGCTCTGGAGGTCGGAGCACCAGGTGACATCTGCCCTCTCTCATCTTTACCGGGACTCCGAGGCGCTGACACCAGACTGGCGTCTTAGACTGAACTTTGGTGTTTTCACGAGACCTTTTGTACAGTATTTATCGTCCACAGAGGAGGCACACAGCGTTTTCTCGGCTCGGGAGGACAAAAGACAAAACCCACCGAGGCGATGCCAACTTTTCTATGACTGCCGGCACTGTAACTTTCTCCCGGGTTTCCTTCCCGCCGGCTCTTCTGCCTGAGGCCGAGTGACGGACCTCGAGCTGTTCTCACTTGTTATAAATGTAGTAAGGCAGATCCAAACATTTACAAGTTTTTTGTAGTTGTTACCGCTCTTTTGGGTTGGTTGGTTCATTTATACCAAGATCCCCTCTCAGACGGTGGAGATATATTCTGGGTTTTGTAAAACTCTGTATCCGAGCATTTCCATTTTTGTTTTGTTTTGTATTATTTCTTGTAAATGCGTTGTGACATTTTTATTTTAGGCGCTGCGGTAAGGGGGGGAGGAGTCAGATTATGTACATAGCCTGCAAGTCTTTCATCTAAAAAAGAAAAACAAAAAGATACCCCCCTTTCCAAAATGCATCAAAATTTGAATCAATACGTCTAAGAGAGAAACGGCCGTTTCCCTATGAAATTGAAACGTGCTAATTTTATATGCATGATTTATGAGCTCAAAATACAATTAGCAATCTGGTGACGGAGAAATTATCAATAGGGCCCAAGAGTAAGGGAGCCCCACCGAGCGGAGGGCAGCGTTTCAATGGCTTTATTCAGTGGGAAAAGAGGAAGCTAAACTCCAGAGATTATTCTGTAGAGTTGAAGTTAACACAGAAGGGAAGTAACTACAAAGTACTTTCTAATAGTTTTGCAGTTTAACTGCCTGGCCCTGGCATTTTTTTTCTTTTTTCTTTTTGCATTTCTTTGCTGTGGCTCTGCCCTTCCCCCTACTGTAGCAGTTTTTGAGGCAGCTTGGTCCTGGTTGGAAGGAGAAAGGACGGTGCTCAATGATGGGGCTGGTGGGACGAGGCCAAGGATGGGGGACAACGAGCACCACAAAGACAGCGTGCCTTTGATATCTCCGTGATTGGGATTGTAAGTGAAATTTTCTTCCAGTGGTTCAAGGAAGCAATTCTGACCCAGAACGCACCGCCACTGTGTCCCTCACCCAGGTCCTACCCCAACACCTCCCCCTTCCTCTCTGGGAAAATGCAACAAATTTGCGGATTTTCTTACATACACACACACACACACACACACACACACACACACCGCCCCTCTCCTGTGTGAAATGGGATGCAGGTTGCTAGGGAATGTAAACACAGAATTCAGTGTTTTATTATTCCTGACCAGATCTTGAGGTTGTTTGATGCTTTAAATATTTTTAATTATATTTTTTCTAGGTGTTTATTGGTACATTGCAGGGTTTTTTTTCCTGGAATTTAAAGTTTTCTGTAAAACTTTGTCTTCAGGTAATCTGACAGCATTAAATATTGCATTTAAAACTTATACGCAGCAAATATGTTTTGAAATTAATCATGACATTAGGATGAAATTCTATTTTTTGAAGGAAATTTTCCTTAAGTCCAGGTGGAAAATGATACTAATTCTTTCCCCTCATTTTCCCGCTTAGTTTCTTTTCTTTTTTCTTTTTCTTCTTTCTTTTCTTTTTTTTTTTTGAATGAGTATGGACTAGCTATTCTAAAGTGGACTTACTCTACCGATTCAGTAAGACCTTAGCTCAGCCTACATTGGAGAATATCCTTCCGTATAAATGCTAATCTTACAAATGACATGTATGATTTTTTTAAAAAAAAGTAATTTTGATGATTTTGCTTAAACCCCTCATCCCTTAACCTGATTGCAAGAGATTCAGGAATGATGCCCACTGCTTTCTGATAAGGTAATAAAATGACACCCCCCCCTTTTCCCTTTCTTCATTTTTCTTTTAGGGTTTTTGCTCTGGTATTTCCAGAACTGGTTTACTTGCTTAGGAGTCCAAGAGGGGAGCGCACTCAGGCAGTCAGGGAAAGAGCCCCGTTCACCTCAGGGAACTTCTAGGGGACTTTCGGGTCCAGCCCACCTTCCCCTTAATACACAAGGGACTTTGCTGATGGGCTCCCAACCACAGCAGCTTCAGTGGGAGGCAGGGGTAGCCACACTCACCTCTCATGCCTGGGCTTCTGAGGTTCCTGTGCCTTGGCTATGGGCTCGCCATTACAGGAGTTATGTCCCACTTTAAGTGAAGCACACCACATAAAGTTAGTCATCTTGCAAATACTAGACAGCTCAGCCCCCTCATTCCTTGTGTTTTGTGTTCCCTATTTGAGCTCCACCCAGTTAGCTGGAATTCTTTGTGCCAGGCCTCCAAGCCACCTTCCTTTGGGTTCTACTGATGTGAGAGACTAGGAGAAAGTCTCTAATGACTTAATTTGAAAACAAAGAGGATTAGGGAGGCCTCCTCTCAAGATTGAGGCCAGATCCGGGCAGGCTCTCTCCAGTTAAAATAAGTGGAGATAATTTTCTCCTAGACCTTACTTAGTTGGAGCCCAATTCAGGGCAAAATGCAGTTCCTAACCAAGCAACCGCGCGTTTGTGTTCACGTGAGATTCTTTGTGGTCGTTTTCCCTTGATAATTCACTTCCAATGCCAGGGCTGTGTTCCATTCTACTAGTGCGATTTTGTTTCCCATCGGTGGCGAGTGGGCCAGTATTTTGTGGCGGCTGGATAAAGTTTGCATAACTTTGTGTAGGGCACCTGAGTGGCTTCTAAACTCACTGGTAAACTAAGCAATGTGATTTGCTTGATGGTCTCGTGCCCCCCCCCAGCCCCCGTCTGCCCCCTCTCCTCTCCTTCCCTCTCTCCTCTTCCCCTTTCTTTCTTCCTCACTTAAAAAACAAAAAACAAAAAAACTCACTGCCCCGTTTTTATTGTTGCCACCGAGACTTTGACACCCTCCCTCAACCCACCAGTAGGCAGATGAAACGAATTAATTTTTTTTTAAAGGAGTTGCGGGCGCAGCGCGCCTGATCTGCAGATGTGTCGGGATGTGACTGATAGGTCTATTAAAATCATGCGTGTGGGAGAAGAATAACACTCATATTCACGCATTTCATTCTCCTCCCCCCCCCCCCCCCAACAAAGACTGGGCACTGCCACACTCTGTCTCCGGAAAATTCCAGTCAATTCGAAAAGCCCTCCCCAGCACTCGTGCTTTGGGTACGCAGGAAAGCAAGCTCGGTCCAGCCAGGGTCCAGCACCGCTGGCTCAGGCCCCTGTGCTTTTCTGGTCACGCCTCCTCCCCACCCAGCTTCCGCAGCGGGTGTCCGGGAGCCGGCGGTGGAATCCAACCCTAGGTTAGAGTCCTGGGAAAGTTCAAGAAAAAAGCAGACTTGGCCTTGGCGCAAGAACTAGTTGGCGGGATGGAGAGGCTCCGGCGGATAGGGGGGAGGATACTGCGCAGGCCCCCGGGGAGAGAGCGCCAGAGTCCTTCTGCGCGGGGTGGCGGGTGGACTGGCAGCTGCCAGGCTGCCTCTGGGGCTAGAGGCTGGGGCGCCACACCCCTCCCTCTCCTACTGCCCTCCTCCTCCGCCCCCTCGCCCTCCCCCTTCCCCCGCTAGGCCCTTCACCTCCAGCTGCGCCCTGCAGGACCTGGCTTCACCCACCCCCAGAACCAGCCAGCGGGCAGTGCGGCCACTGACAGCGCCCTGCGTCCCGGGTGTTGTAGCCAGGATCCCACGTGCTCTAACCGGGACTTCTGTACTCTGCCTCCCGTGTCCCAAGTCAGGCTTCTGTGGTTCTGCTCCCAGCTGCATCCCGCACCGAGCTCGCTCTTCTCCCACGTCCTTCTCTACACCCTCTGGTCCACCACTTCTTCCCTTCCCCTCCTTTCTTCTAGCCCTCCGTCTGCAGCCTCTGCTCTTGCCGGGCTTTCCCTTGACGCGCTGACAGGCCCTCCCTTTGTCTTAACTTTGTCTTAACGTGCGGTCCGCTTCCCGCCTCCGAGCCCCCTCTCCTCTCCCCACATACACTCTCCGGCATAGCTGCCCCGTCGGAGGCGCAGGTTCAGAGCGATCCATCCCCTCTTCGAGTTCGTCCACCCTTGCGGGGGTAGCAAGTATGGGCTTGGCACCTACCTTGCTCACGTCCACGCTTGCCCAGAGGCCTTTGGGGGAATTAAGAGAGGAGGGTTTGCGCTAGACTACAGGATTACAGTGTCTCCACTGATTTGGGGTTCTGATTTGGGGTCAGGCTCAAGCCAAACCCTTTCACAATCAGTGGGGGAACCAAACAGGTCCCAGGCAAGGCCGCAACAAGTGGGCACAGAGTGGGGGAGGGGAGTCAGGGTCTCCTGGAAAGCAGGGTCAAGGAAGAGGCAGGGTGGCCCTCCTCGCGGCAGAACTAGGCCCTGGGCTGCAGCAGTCACAGGCGAGATCGTTTGGGCCTCGGTCTGGGCCTAGACAACGACGAGATGCCTTCAGAGGTATCGATCTCAGGGAAATGTCTGCTCTGACCAAGTCTGGGGGTTCGCTTGTATGCTGCTCTTTGGCATTTGAGTCTAAGGAAAGCTGCATAGGCCTCTGCCTAAGAAGCAGAGGCTTTATAAACACAGCTCAGCATACTTAAGCAGCAATAAATAAGTAATACAAAATTAAGACCAAGTTCTTGAGAGCTGGGGTGAGCTAGACTCTTGGCAGTCCTTCACTCCATCTCTTTGGGAGCTGTGGGTGAGGTGCTGTTGAAATGCCTTAGGGCTGCGGTTTCTGTTGCCGATCAGGTTCTCTACACGGGGTGAGGGCAAAATGCGCTGTTTGTTTAGACTGATGGAGGCCTGGAACCTGGCGTGGTGGAGCAGTCGGAAGCTGGATGACAAGGAATGAAGTTCCTTAGAGCCCCAAGGACTCATTCTTACCGGGACGAGTCCACTGGTAATGTTTGGCAAGTGTGGGAAATATGTTAAGAGCTCAAGGAAGCAGTATAGTCATAGACAAAGAGCATATGTTGGGTAGTAAAAATAAGAAGCACAAAAAGGCCAGCTCTTCTACATTTGCGCATGCACATAAACAAACACCACCCGCAAGGAGAAGGCAGAGCTGGTTTTAGGTGTTTCTTTGTTATTTTGTTTTGTGTTTATTTTTCTTTGATACAACTCTTGGTGAACTCACACATCCTTGCATAGTGGGCACGGTGTGGCCTGTCACACAGGTAGGTAGAAAGTATGTTCCCAGCTCAAAGTTCAAACTCGAAGACCAGGATGTTGTTAAATGATCTCTAGGGGAAAACTGTCTGTGGCAGAGACACTGGCCACCGAGTCAGTCTCCCCATTGCCTCGAGGGCAGCTCCCGAGGGTTTAATTGCCCTCAGCCACTTCAGAACAGCCGTGTGGGCACATTAAAGGCGCTGTTTGTGGAGAACAGCAGGTCACCACACGCAAAGCCTTGGAATAGTCAGCCAGTCAAATCAGTGGAAAAAATCAGCTTTTGTTAGATTTTGCAGTTTCGGGAATTAGGCATTCACTGCGGAGCCGCAGTTGTGAGAAATTGCAATGTCAGGCGTGTTCCCAGTGGGGAAATATTGTGAGTGTGGAGGATCGTAAGATGGGGCCTGACAATGGGGAAACTGACAAGAGCCATCACCCAGACGTTGTTTTCTCTCCCAGCACCCCGGAAATGCTAACAAGAGACGTTACTTGGCAGCGGTGGCACCAGAGTCAGGTCTGCACACCGAGTGCAAAGAGACATGCACAGTGCAAGACCCAAGCCCAGTTTCACGTGAGTCAGGGAATCCACAGACAAAAATGCCCTAGAGATTTAAAAAAAGAAAAGCCACCTATACACCAGTTAGAAATAGCATCAGGATCTTCTAGGAAAAAATAATAAAGTGGAGACCAGTGTCTTGCTTCTGAGCGGCAGAGTAGAGGACACCCAGGTGAGCATGTTTAACAAGGAAGAGGACCTCACAGTCAAGCTTTGAAAAGCTAAACCCACAAGCACATTCAGTAAATGGAGGGACTCGAACCTGTGCTGGGCAGAGCTGGACCCTTTGTTTCTACACTGAACCAAAGAGAGAAGGTTAACCTGGACATTGGCTCTCTACACTTGAAAAATAGAGTACTCTCAACTGAGGGTCTGTAGCTCAGATGTGAAACCAAAATTACCAAACACCTAGGTGGGACATATCCTACAGGGGATTCAGAGCCCAGCACACAGGAGGCTTCCAGGAACGGTCAGGTAAAGTGGAGAACTGGGACTTTAGGAGGCAGGTATGGCAGAAGCAGGATGCAGTGATCCCCTCCTCCCCCGCCACCAGTGTTTAGGGGCTTCAGGGCTACTGGAGAGCTGTCACACTCCCTGTCTGTTCGGCAGACCAGGTGCCCATGATTCCAACATCAGCGGGGCAGGGCTCATGCCTCCTGGGTGAGTCCCGTGTCACACAGGTAGGAGTCATGTTGTAGAGTTGTGCCAGAGGACACACCCTGAGCATCTGGCCTGGCCACTGTGATTGGTGGCAGTGTTGATGGGGTCCTTAGGAGAGCGGGCTTTGTTATGGTGACTTTGGACCGGGCTTTCCGCATCAAACTCAGATCTGGAGCTTTTTTGCAAGGGTGGTGGTCTCTCATCCTCCATGCTCTGACCAGGTCCTATACAGGCTGACCGTAAGTGCCCCCAAGAATCTGCCCTGTGTCAGGCACAGTCAAAGAGTTGCTGATAGTGACCCTGGAGG